AAAGGACACTACTCAGCATCTTGCAAATATTGTCAAAAAACCTGGAATCGTGGAACACCTTTTAAACTCGAAGCTCATTTACCTAATGAATGTCCTGGATGTTGTTATTCCATTTCTTGTTTTATTTGAATAACAACGAGATAATAAATTCCCAAGCTCATCTGTCAAACTTTTATAAAAGTGCCGTTCTAACTGAGTAAAGCAAAAATTCAATTGGTTTTGCTTTGCCCTTTGTCATTTTTGTCACATGTGTACCGTTTGACGAAAGATTTTTACACTCTAAAATATTTTCGTCGTTCAACCTTGTTGTGTATAAAACAAAAAACAATTTATTTATTATCCCGATTTTTTAGTCTTTTAATAGCAGAGAACCGAATTCATATCCTATAACACTAAACATCACAAGCAACATACTCTTTCATAGTCCAAATTTTAACTTTTTTTTTAACAGTCAAATAGTTTATTTGATTAATTTAAATTAATAAACAAAATAAAATATATACATGTATATTATTTGAATAAAATAAATAATTAATGATAAAAATCATCATTGACCATTTTCCTTTAATAAACTTAGTAGTAATAACGGATATTAATTTCCATCAATGTTTAAGAGAAAGAGTTATAATCAAGATTAGTATTGGTTTCCAAAACTCGAGAGTTTCGCAACCGTGCGAAAGTCAAAAGGTTTAGCCATAAGTCGAAACTAGTTTTGATTTTTGACTATTGACTTTCTACTTTTGACATATAACTTTTAATTTTTTTAGTTATGACTTTCATCTCTTCAATATATTTTTGGCAACCAATACTAATCAAGATCCGGTAAGCTATCATATATGAGCTTTTTGATTCAACAATCTCTCCATCTAATAATCTACTTTTATGGTATGCATTTGGATGTGATTTGTATACTTGTAGTAACTTACCACCGCCACTACTGATATTATTATTATTGCTATGTCCGTTTTGATTACTCCTAGTAGTAAATTCAAAAAGCTCATTAATTGTTGGTCTTTTAGATGGATCCGCATCCCAACATTTCTGCATCATTTGCACATAATCATCAGGCATTTCAGGTAATATTGGTGGTCGTAAACCTTCACATATATCAAGAATTAAATAATGATTATGAGCTCTATCATCAAATGGTGGATGACCTGCAAATATTTCCCACATTAACATCCCAACACTATAAATA